CCCCCCCCCCCCCCCCCCCCCCCGCAGTGCCTACCAGATACAACACCCGAACGTGCATTGCTCCACGGAGATTGAGTAATGTTCCCCACCGAGGCACAGGGCGGGTGCTACACTAAATCAGGCACAAGGAGAACTCACTTCCAAGAGCCGAACCAAAACAGAGTGACACCTACAATCCATGCCACGGAACCCCCGTGGCTCATTGCGCCACGTACTGCTGCTGTCTCCCTTGTTTCGGGCTATAGCTGATTAGATAGATGCACCAGCAAACAACCCTCACCAGATTCTGTTCTGTTTTCCAGCTTCTGACTAAAACACACGATACACGGAAAGCTACATAGCTGCTGCGACGTGAATTCAGCAATAACAATTCGGCCCACCCTGTCAGAAAGTGGCGCGACCCCGTCTAATCCGGCGAGAGCCGTAAGCTCTGGTCAGGGCGTTATCACACTACGGGGAGTGGTAGTCGCACACGACACGGCGCTTGGGCCATGCCTGCCGGTTGGGAGTATGTACGACGTTGCTCATAACTACTGCACACGAGCTGAGGCCGTGCGCCCCTCCTTCCTTCCCTGGATGATGAAGACAACACAAAAGAAACAAACTCTTGCCGTCTGTATATACCTACCTTTAACCTATCACGCCTTGGTCATGATGCCTGCGTCGACGCCACGACGTCACTCTCGCATCACAAAAAAAAAAAAAGCGCCCCAATCCGTCTTGACAGGGGGGAAACCAAAAGGTCTTCATTCTCCGGATCAAGCACCAAGCGTACACCTCATCGTCTTCAGAGCGATAGATGTACCAAGATGCACCGGTAGCGTGGCGTGAGAAATGCCTCCCCCTCCCGGATCAGTTTGCTTCGGCAGGCTAATGACCTGATCCGATACTCGAAAATTGTCACAAGAACAAGAAGGTGGAGGGCAGCACGCGGGTGGGTGTTCCCAACACAGAAATGAATCAAAAACATTTGACGCGCACAGTCTTCTGCCCGCGAGGGCATAAGCAACAAACACCGACCTGACCGCATCGGTGGCGCGTGACTTGCCACAAGCCCCTCAAACGCGCTGCGGGCAGGCCGCCACTCTCGACACGAGACCCCCCCCCCCC